ACATGCATGCATGAATTATGCTCTATTTCAACATGCTAGAACTAATCCATGGCTCAATCCTCAACTTTGACATGAATCATGTAAGAACAAGCTCAAACACATCAATAAAGGTTGAATTCTCTTACCTAGAGCTTCAATTACAAGTGTAGAACCACAAATCAACAATCAACCCTCAATTTCTTCAATTACTAAGCAAAACGCAAGATGAAATCCAATTCTCTCACTCTCACCTCCCTAAGGTCGGTTTGTGTGCAAGAAATGGAGCTTATGAGATGTTTAGAGTCAAGTATGCAAGGCTCTAGCATAACTGGGTAGTGGGCCACTCGGTGGCAAAATGGTAATTATGACAACTTTTGCAATTTAACTCATTTTAATCTAATTTAATCATACCTAATCAGTTTTCAAATAATTATACCATAAAAGTACATAAATTCTAAGGATCACGAAACACTAATCAATTCCGGATTCGGCCGCCGATAAGGCCTTCAATAAGCAATTTAAACACTAAAATACGAACAGATCAAATGGTCAATCAAACAGATAGAATACAAATTATCATACATACTTAGTCAATTCAGTTCCAGTTTTCAGTCAGTCAGTTCAGTACTTTGCTCAGTTCAATTATCAGTCATAATCAGTTCAGTTGAATGGTAATCAATGTTCATTCGGCAAGCAGTGGTGAGGGTTATTACATGCTTGCATCCATTCATTCGTATTACATGCACCGAGGCTCAGTGCATCATTCAAACTGCATTATCTCAATACATTCTTTGAATACGTGTTTAATAGCATGTTATTTAAATTGCTTCATATGTCATATTAGTAGCCGAGCCTATTAAATTGAATATCGCATGTGTTGCATTAGGCATCCTGTATAGTTAGGAATCATGCATATTTTTCTAACTTATATCTTCTTAACTTGGAGTACTAGGTGAGTTTTATGCTTTAGCATACTTACATGAATGTGAATGTTTCCATGTCTAGCATGCTTGCCATGAGGCGAAATGCTTACTTGCTAAACTGCTTGAATGCCTATAGATGAAGGCTAGTTGTTTGAATTGGAACGATTCAACGAATGTGCGTTTTAAGCCCACTTTGTTAAGTGGCAAATTAGTTTTAAGTCCACTATGTTTGGTGGCAAATCTACAAATTTTAAGCCCGCTCGAGGTGACAAATTCAAACCATTTTCAAAAGCAAACATGAGTTGAATTGTTTCAAATTGGGCAAACTAGTCTATACTTGCTTGTGCGCATCACATAGTAAAGCTAGCTTAATAATCTGAATAAGAACACATAATGTTGATAAAAATCATATAATGATTAGTAGAGGCCGATCTTTGATCGGGCAAGCGAGGGTGCTCAATTCATGACCTTCCCCTCTCGTACTTAAGTTCCGGAGCCAAGACAACTTTGGTGATGACGGACACGTGGCCTTTGGCACAAGTCATGGGTTTTCTAAATTTCTCCAAAAATAAAATATTTAGGTGGCGACTCTGTATCTGGCAAAGTAGACCAATTTTGGCACTTTTGATTCAATATCAATTTTCCAAAAACGATTTGCCAGATTTGGACTCTTTGGTGTTTATCAGTTTCACATTGCACTTGTGAGATTAGCTTCAGAACTATGAGAGTCTGAACTGTAGGGCTTCTTTTTGAGCTTCCGAAAGGGGGCGCGAAAAAGCCGAGCTACAATCATGATGATGAAGATGTGGAAGATGAAGGCAGCACATCGCAAACCCAACAAAACAATAATGTGCTCTTAGCAACGACGGCAACAATTGCAGTGACATATGCGACAAATTATTTAACAAAAGAACCATGTAGGACATCTTCTCTAACAAGGTAGAAGTGAATGGTAGAATTACAAGAAAGGAATCGGATAAGCGTATTTGATATTTTTTTGAATGGAAATAGAGGTATTTTATCAATTGTGTGATTTGTTACAGAATAACTATGGCATTGAAACTGGACGAAAAGTCTCAGTTTAGGAGCAAGTTGCAATATTTTTGTATATTGTTGGCGGTGACATTTGAAACAAAAATGTCCAAGAAAGATTTTAACATTCTGGAGAGGCAATTTCAAAATACTTCAAGCTGATGTTAAAAGCTGTTACAATGATGTCTATTGATTGGGTAAGGCCTCAACCGAGAAATGGTGTGCATCCATATATTAGAAGCAACCGCAGATACTATCCTTATTTCAAGGTAATAATTAACTACAAGTGGAACTTGGGTGTTACATATAATTAATGTTGTTAGGATATTTCTAATAATGAGTAAATATATTTTTATTCTAAAGTTTGTAATAGGATTGTATTGGAGCAATTGACAGAACACACATCAAAGCATATATATATATATATATATCTCTAGATAAACAACCTTGTTTAATAGGTGAAAAGGGGTATGTGACTCAAAACATAATGGCCGCATGTGACTTCAATATGTGTTTCACATTTTGCTTGCCAGGATGGGAAGGAAGTGCACACGATACTCGGATCTTCTTAGATACAATTAGGAATCCTAGTTATAATTTTCCAAACCACAAGGAGGTAGCTGTTTTATATTTGATTGCTGCGGTAGATGCACCACACTCACATCTTCATATTTATTTTTACATTTATAATTGCTTACTTTAATTTCATTTTGGAATTTTAAAATAGATGAGTTTTACTTGGTGGATGCTGGGTATCCAAGCATGAAAGAATATCTTGCATCTTACAAAATAGAAAGATACCATCTAGCTCAACTTGAAACGGTCAACCCCTCCCCCCTCCCAAAAAAAAATGCACAAGAAAAATTCAACCAAGCATATTCAACGTTTGGGGTTTGGAAAGCAAGATGACCGATGATAAAGGATATCCCACCAAACTATAAGTGGCCGACCCAAGTCAAACTTGTTTGTGCAACAATGACAATTCATAATTTCATCCGATGAAGTGAGTTCCGCAATGTTGCATTTGACTCTTATGATAGATTTACGGATTGTGTGCCTAATAAAGAGGAAGGATCTTTGCCTCAACAAGCACGCCGTGGAAATCATGTTGCAGGTGATGACAACGAGATGGAAGTAAGGAAACATAATATTTGTATGTCAATTTGCAGACGAAATTAGGAGTTCTTTAAATATCAAGGAAGTTTTATTTTTATTGCCTTAATAGTAATTTATTGTATTTTTTTTTTTTTTTTGCAATAACATTTTCTTGTGAACTCAATATTTATAAAAAAAATAAAAATAAATAAATATTGAGGTGATGGAAAAATGTACCAAATTAGGTACTAATTATATCAACTTCCATTAATGAAATAACTTTTTCAAAATTTAAAGTGAAGAAAATGACAAAATTACAATTTTTATGTTCATAATGGCAAAAATGACAATTACACAGCAAAAAAGTTATTTTCTAGCTTATTTATCAAATATTACTCTGCTGCTTAAATCCATAATCCCATAATTGCACCAAACAAGTTACCAGCTTATGTTCACAGCTGTAAGCTATAAAGTTATAATTTATAATCACTTTTCCATAACTTTACCAAACGGGGATAATACAATATGTTTATGAAAATAATATTCAATTTATGCTCAATGTAAGGTGCATTACCAAAGCAACACATTTTGAATTTGTTTTAAACTTTTTTGTTACAAATTGTTTTCCTTTTCTTTTAATGTCCTAAAATAATGTGAGCAACAATGAATAGGTCAATTTTTTATTTAATCCCTAATGTTAAGTGCAATTTAATTCTAATAAGTTAGGCTAGCAATCGTTACACACCCAATGTGAGCGCAATTCTATCCTATTTGATAATAACAATCTAAATCTAACATTTTGTCGCCAAAGTTGACATGTTAAACTCAAATCTCTAAATTTGAAATTCACATCCGTCTAAACGAGATTCTAAAGGGAAATGTAAAAATGTAGGGTTAAATTTTGAAGGTTGAAAGTATTATGAAAATTAAATGGTGTAAAAATAAACCAAAATGTATATGTGAAGTGAGAAATGGTATGAATTGAAATAAATTATTGTGTGCAAATAGAAGATCTCAAAAGTAATTTTCCATCCCTCTTGTAGTTCTCAAAACTTTTTTTTGGGAGCTTCTATTTGTACACACAATATCCACTCTTTGCACATCATTCTCACTACACACACCTAAAAAATTAATCAATTTATTTTACTCACGGAACACACATTTCATTCCACATCTACCCTTATACACACACACACCCAGACCCTCAAACCCAGCTCTCCGAACGGTGAAAATACGCACCCATTGAAGCTGCATCTCTCTCACACACGTCTCTCAAACAAGTCCATCTCTCACACCTTTCATCCCCAAAGCTGCATGCATCAAGACATCTCATTGAAGCATTGAAGAATCTCATTGAACCATTGAAGGAATTCTTCATATTTGGAGAACTTAGGTTAGTTTACTTAATTTGTAATGTAGAGTTTGTTTTTACCATTTTCAAAACGAACGAACGCATAGCCCACCGAAATGAGCAATATGTTGCTCATTCAGAACTGGTTTTCCGAAAGTAAACAACTTGTTCGAAAGTAAAAATCCAAAAATTATCATTTATTTCAACAGTAGATTTCCGAAATGTTTTCATTCTTTCGACATTTAACTTCCAAATATGTTTAATTCGGACAACATTCAACTTCCGAAATTTATTTTTGTTTTTCGGTTTTCAACTTCCGAACGGTTTTCTTTTTTTTCCCCCCTCCCTCTCTTTTGTATATTCCTTTTACAATTGTATAGTCATTAAATATATTGATTTTTGCAGATAATATGGATTCTGAATGTCAACAACGTGTCCCACCTAATGCTTCAAATAAACGACGTCATGAATTAGATGTTGACCATGAACGGGGATGAGGGCGTGGGCGAGGACGAGGTTGGGGTCGTGGTCGAGGTCATGATCTAGTTTCGGTAGAATATGATATCCCCAGTGCTAGTCAAAATTGGAGCCGAAGCCAAAGACGAGTTGAAGGTGATGATATGCCTGACATTACCGTGGAGGATGCCTCTTTACCCGATTCTCCTACTGTCCAGGAAGAGGACCTTACTCATGCTTTTCCAAGTGGACCGACTGATCCATCAATACTACGGAGTTTCAATAGTCATGTTGTTGCAACTGTTTGGCATGAGAAGGTAAACATTCTTGAGTAGAAGTGAAATTCATTTGTATATGATTTTTTTTTTTGGGTATTATATGGTAGTTTCTAATGAGATATCATTTATGTTATAGGAACGAGGGCCCCTAAAGTGTCATAATCACTCTTCGAAGTTCCTTGCATGGCCATGGTGGTCAGTTGACAACAACACCAGATTCAAAGCCATTATTGAATAGTCTGGGCTGTCACAGTTAGCTCGTTGCACTTATCGGTTCATCAACAAGCTTCTAATCTCCAGTTTTGTTGAGAGATGGCAACCTGAGACGAACACATTTCATATGACAGTTAGTGAGATGACCTTGACCTTGGATGATGTTGGCACTATTCTTAGCCTTCCCATTGTACGCAGATCAGTCAGCGTACCAGATATGACGGATCTTCATGGAGTTACATTACTAGTTTCTGGCTTGGGGATTACTGAACGTGTAGCACATGACGGGGTTTCTACTGCTAGTGGGAATTCAGTTAGGCTTGAGTGGTTGCGAAGTCAGTTTGCTGGTGTCACAGGTTCAGACCTAGAGGAGGCTATATAGTGCACTATTAGAGCTTATGTTGTTGTTTCTGTTGCGATGTACGCTTTTCAGTGACAAGAGTGGCGGCAGGGTTCCTGTTGCTTACCTTGGCTTATTGATGGATTTGGGATCCATTCATACTTATGCCTGGGGTGCTACTGCATTAGCATTTTTATACAAACAATTGGGATATGCTAGCCGGTCCGGTGTTAAGCAGATGGGTTATATGACTCTTCTGGAGGCGTCGATTTATGAGCACTTCCGAGCATTCTGACCTCACCAGAACATGGGCTACAATGAAAACATGCCACACGTGTACCATTAGGTATTTAGGAGAGAGGCGGGTTCCTCCATTGATCATTTGAATTCTTTTCGAGCGGAGCTTGACAGTTTGGTAGCGACTGATGTAAGTTTACTCATCCTGAGATAATTTTAACACTTTTCATTTATCTTACCCTTTATATACTTTAATTCAAAAACACTTTACGTTTACAGGTTATTTGGGATCCATACCACAGTTGTAGAGACAGGCATACATGTAACCCGGTTACGTTCTACCATGGATACTTGAAGTGCTTAGACATGGTCGAACCCTATCATTCAGATAGAGTTCTGAGGTAGTTTGGCAGGGTTCAAACCATCCCAAATACACCGCTGGCTCCCACTCGTGGTGCTCGAGGCAACATATCTGCAAGATATACAGTTATGCATAGATACTTGGATAGGATTTGGAAGGCTTGGGATAACCACGTGTTATTTGAGCAGCGGAGAAGCACACTAGTTCGTCAGCCTTGGGAATGCATACCGGGTTACATGGATTGGTATAAGAATATCACGCTACTATATGTTGAGCACACTGATAAACCACGTGTCCATGACCACCAGGATTTTAGCCAATATGCTGATGTAATATATTATCCTCTTTTAAGCATTTGTAATTTACTTTTTCTTTTCTGATATGTTCCCTAAAATGTGATATTCTTTTCAAATGCAGCGTATTGCACATGCACTGAGGATTGCACATCCTATCATTTAGGCTAGTTATAAGGACGTGATTCGACATCCTCATCGACTTTACCAAGCTATCGAGGCTATGGCACATGTCCTTGAAGGTCAGCACATTGATGAAAATGGACCTAGTTCTGCTGGACCTAGTTATACTGGAGGTCGTTTTTCATCTCCGACATTGACATGCAGTCGTAGGCATACAGCTGATTTGTGACATGTTATTTGTTAGTTGATGAATTTTTTATGGTGTTTTTTGTAAGATGACATTGCTGTAATGGTAACAATGGTTCATATTTTCTTATTAGAATGGAATGGTAACAATGGTTGATGACGGTTGAAAGTGACATTTTATTATTAGAATGGAATGGTAACAATGGTCGATGATTTTGTAAATGATATTTTGTTATTAGAATGGAATGCTAACAATGGTCAATAACATTCAATCCATGCCACACAAGACATCAACATCAAAAACACATCCATTAGTTTCTTCCATAATTCTAACATTGTCAAATGCATGCATGTGTCATTCAACATCAACAACATCAAATGTCTCTCAAGTAGCTACAGTATCATGAATAATGTCCTTCAAATGCTGAATGCGGCACACATATGCATCATCACAGTCGACAGCGCAAGGGTGACGGTATTTTCACCAATTAGTGGCTATAGGAGGAACTGGATGGCCTGGCTGCAAAAAAAACCTGCACCAAATGTCAATTGAGTTAGTGTCATACCTCATAACTTCCTGTACATGCACAAATTGAAAGTTTCTCTTATACTTGGATGAAATGATTTTCGTTGACAAACCCAATGGCAATCTCACGTCTATCAAATTGAGGTACTAGAACAGTTCTAAGAGGTAAAAAGGTGAGACATTGCTGTAATGACAGCTGGTATAACACAAGATTGTAGCATGATGCAACAAGATGCCCCATGTCTGGCATAGTCATCCAATGTGAGTAGCCAGGACTGTCTTCAAAGTATGATAATATGCTTGTCAATTCTTCAAACCTTTCATAGGACCCATAAAGTGTAATGTATTCCTTTTTGTGTATGTGTAACTCACCCAAAAGATCACACCTAACCTGAGCCCAATCATCTTCTGTATGACCAATTGAAGTAACTATAGCCCTAAAACCACAATTCCCATCTGCAGCTGCATCCTTGACAAACTTAATGTATGGTTTCAACCCAGAAGGGAAAGCGTCAACATATGCACCAAGTTTCACTATTCTAGTAATGTACACCTTCCCCTTCGCATTCACCTTCTCCTTTCCCTTAATAGGTCGTTTCTTTTTGGTTTTCAGAGTAGAAGCCAATGTAGTGATTTGAGTGTCCCTAGGTGAGAAGGAATCATGTCTAGATTGCACCAACTCAAATGCACATGGGTCACGACGGATAGAAACATTGATCTTCTTATGATCCCGCGGATGTGTTTTGGGCTTCACCTCCGACTCAACAACAAAAGTGCTTCCCGAACATACAATCTCTTTCAACTTCTTCAAAAGATCCAACTGCATGGTTTTATCACTTTCATTGAACTTTTTCACAAACAACTCTACTTCTGCATGACAAGTCACCTTCGTTTCCTCTTCTTTGTTGCATATGGAGATATGAAGTTGCCTCCACTGTGAGTGTATGGTAGCAAGTGGTATAGGACGATCTTATTTGATGTAGTAAGCAATCTCATGGGTACAAGGTAAACCATGAGTGTGGCGAAGGAGGCATCCACAAGCTTTAGCATCAATACCAATGGAATTGGCTCTCTTACTCTACAAGCAAATACTCTAATGTAGAGATAAACACATTATCTCGTAGCTCCCTGAACTGAGAAGGTTTAAATTGATGTTGCACAACAGTTAGACTTTTCTCAAATGAAGCCTTGATATCAGTGTGTTGCAACTCAAGCAGACTGTGTATTTTCTCAAATGATGCTTGAAATGAGACTTGACATAAACCCAATTGTCTTTTAAGTTTTGCATGTGCACTCTCAGCCCTGTTCAATTCAATGTAAGTCAAATAAAAATCAAGTACATGGCACTTATTAATAACATATTGAACAAAAGTAATCTTACCGGTTGGTTGTAACATTGCCATAATGCATACACGTGTCTGTCCATGCCACCACAAATTTCTTCCTGTAAGGAACCAACCAAGTATCTATGACGTAGTTGGCTGCATCGAGATAACTGCTGAATTCCTTAAGTAATGATTTAAGACGCTCATCGTATTGAATTTCAAAAGATGAATACACTAAGGAGTTTCACTCATGGTTGAACTTCTCCCATTTCTACTGTGTCTCAAACATTTTCTTGCATTTGGTCAATACATTCTTACTGATATGCCAACGACATAATAAACGTTTGCCACTCGGGAATAGCTTTTATATGGCATTCATGAAGGCTAGCTCTCTGTCAGTAACAATAATCGCTGGCAAAACAAAACCATCCATGGCATCATGCAATGTAGCTAACACCCACGCATAGTTATCGGCCCTCTCATACTGTAAGTATGCAAAAGCGACAGAGAAAGTCATTTTAGTTGATGTCACTCCCACAATTTTAAGAAGAGGAAGACGATTTTTGTTGGTTTTATATGTGCAATCCATAATTGATATGCGTGGGAAAGAACGAAATAAGTCTAAACTAGTAGGATGTACCCAAAACAAGTCTGTCACATTCATCGTGGACTCTTCACATCGATGGCGCTCAATGTAATTATACTTGGCCAATTCACCCAATAAGTGTTGCGTCTGTGATCTTCCAGCTCTCTGTACCACCCTATTTCAATGGCATACATTGTAAATGGTTTTAAGTGTGCTTACATTGAGGGCATCTCGCTATTTCAAGGTTACTAGGATTTTTTTTGGCCTAACCATGCTCTTTGACATATCCATTAACAATGCTTTCTCATCCTTTGACAGCCTCCCCGCATATGAATGTCCCTCAAGGTGCTCCGCAGGTGGATGGTTATGTAATCCGCATACTACGGTCAATGTCCATTCATCATGTGTGGTAAACCTGTGAGCCCTTATATCAAAAGGACAACCACACTTTTTTATACCGGTTATTCTTGATGTTTTGATTACAATGACCAAACCATTTCTCTTTCCAACTTCACGTTCCCAATTGAGCAATTTATCCTTACTTCTGAATACCTACAAAGCCAAATAAATATTATCAAACATTTACATTTATTGAGCAATTCAAAACATAATCATTATAATTTCGTAGAGTGAACCTATTCAGTTGTGAATTGAGTAGTGTAATCCAACACACTATTCGTGAATGTCCCTCAAGGTGCTCCGCAGGTGGATGGTTATGTAATCCGCATACTACGGTCAATGTCCATTCATCATGTGTGGTAAACCTGTGAGCCCTTATATCAAAAGGACAACCACACTTTTTTATACCGGTTATTCTTGATGCTTTGATTACAATGACCAAACCATTTCTCTTTCCAACTTCACGTATCCAATTGAGCAATTTTTCCTTACTTTTGAATACCTACAAAGTCAAATAAATATTATCAAACATTTACATTTGTTGAGCAATTCAAAACATAATCATTATAATTTCGTAGAGTGAACCTGTTCAGTTGTGAATTGAGTAGTGTAATCCAACACACTATTCGTGCAAATCTGACTTCCTTGAGTTGACACATATTTATACATGTTTTGTATAACATTACAAATTTGAAATGACATTATAAAGATTAATTTGCAATTTGAAACTGTAAATTTAGTATGCAGTTTACAAATTTGGAATATAAAATGGGAAAAAAAAATTTACTTCATTCGGAAGTATAATGTCGAACAAAATGCTAATTTTCGAATGTCGTTGTCCGAATTAATTTTATAATTTCAGAAGTTGAATGTCGTAAAATTTAAATTATTTCGGACAACAACTTTTGAAATTACATAATTATTTCGGTAGTCGAATGCCAAACAAAGTGATATATTTCGACTCTGGTTATCCAAAAGGCGCTTAAAAAAAAAAAGAAGAAGACTTTTACATTGCAAAACTCACATTTCCTTGGCTATCTTTCTCATAAACATTTATTTGCTTCGGAAAATCTAAATTTTCAAAAGAGAAATCCTCCATAACAATGAGGAATGAGGATGAGGTTAGTGTGTAAACTAATGGAAATGGAAATTTACGAATGGACTTGAAGCTTCAACAGCTTCAATGGACTTGGAGCTTCAATAGCTTCAATGGAAGAAGGAGTAGCTACAATGGACTTGGAGCTTCAACAGCTTCAACGTGATGGATGTGAAGTCTGGATGTGCAATGAAAACGTTTGTTTATTTGTGTATGATGTCCAAATAGTAATTTCACTTAGCGATAAAATTGTAATAAAAATAAATATCATTAAGTGTGTGTATAGAGTAGATTAGGTGTGTGCAAATAAAAGCTCCCCTTTTTTTCACTGAATTGTAATTAGTTGTCCCATGTTCCACTATTTCAATAAGACTGCCCCTGTTTCAATCAATTTTCTCAAAAGTAAAACATAATTTTTTGTAGTAAGTTTTCACTAATACTACCAATATAGAACTAAAACGTAGAATTAATTGCATAAATTATATTGATAAGTTGAGATTTATTCTTAATGTGAGCCTCTCTACAATTACATTTAATCCCAATTTTTATTATATTTTCTATAAATGATTTTGTGCTCTATTGTGTTCTTAGCCTAATTCTAAACTATTTTGGGATAAATTACATTTTTCGCTCCTAGAACTTGATCAAAATTTCACTTTGACTCCCTATTGCTTCTATTTAAATAATTTACCTTCTTCACTTCATATCTAATTTCAATTTGATATTTTACGTCAAAATTTATGTCAATTTTTTGAATACACACCTCAAGAGATTGATAAGTATCTCAAAATAGTTAATTTTAACATCCAACTTAAATGGAAAAACTAAATTAAAACTCAATGTAAAATGTAAAAACCAAATTGTGTAATTTGAACATAGAGACTAAAGTAAAATTTTGAATAAATTACGAATGTTAATTTATCAAATTTTTTTTTATATAAAATGATGTAACCTAACTTATAATGTGAAAAACAAGTTGTGCAATTTGAAACAATAAAGACTATAATAAAATTTTAAATAAAGTAAAAAAAGCTAAAAATGTAATTTATTTAATTTATTTTAATATAAAATAGTGTAACATCTTATGATTTTTTAATTTCAACTTAAAACATTCACTGTTTTGTCACACTATTGTGGATGGATTTTTTTGTACAAAAAAATCTTTTCGCAATTCCTCTCAATAGTTGACCCAGGTCAACCCACTAAGGCTCCATAATATCCACACGTTTAATTATTACATTTAAAAAAGTGAAATGAGTATTTAAATATAATTACGTTAAGTCATAATTAATATTATATTTTTTAACATAATTAAATAATGAGCATTGTTATTAGTATCTCATTAATTATTTTAAACCCTCTATTTCTTTGAACCCCACTTATAAATTCTAAAACTATTAAAATTTCTTTTCTCCTCCTAAATAATACTAAAATTATAGTGTTGCTATTAGCACCACATCTATTATTTTGGACCCTTCATTTCTTTTGACCCGCACTTATAAATTTTGAAACCCTTGAAATTTCTTTTCTTCTCCTAAATAATACCAAAATTATTCTTTTGAAAATATTTCACCCATTCAATTAAATGCACACCCCACGCCCCAAAAAAACCTCTCTTTCAAAAACCCGAATAAAACCCACGAAGAAAAAGAAAAAGAGCCAAGTGTGATTATTGTCTCTGCCGCCTTATTCTGTTCTTTGGTTTAACCATTGTCACAGTTAGTATGCTCTCTCTCTCTCTCTCTTGCCTCATCTTTTTCTTCGATAATTAATGTTCGGTTGCTTGTTTCCGAATAAATAATAAATGCTTAGTTACCGATTCCCAAACAAATAAATAATGTTTGGACTTATATTTCCCAAATTTCGATCATATGTTCAGGAATTCAGTCCCGAAAAAATAACGATCATATTTTATTATTTTTGCCATTTTTTTTAAGAAACTTACCATTACAAGGCCAATCTCCTCTGAGTTAAGAATACCATCAAAGTTATGAACCTCCTCCAAACTTTTATTGTTGTACTTCACTCATCTCATGGAGTTGTGGTTGCCGAAAAAGCTTCCACTTATTGTCATTGCCGAAGAAGTGTAGGTAATTAAATAGTTGTTACCGTTACCGTCGGAATATTTCCACCAAAGATTTCAAGGTTTTAAGGGTGGGTAAGTTTTGAATGAGAGATTTGGGAAAGATGGATGGGTAGTGATAGAGGTGGGTGCTTTCATAAACCCTAATTCATGATGTAGGGGGTGTGTGAGTTTAATTGTGAGATGAGGTGTCCCAAAATTAATGATGTCCTTTTTAATAATTTTATTTGAGGTTATTATTGTAATAAAAAAAAGTTACAAATTGAGAGGTCCAAAATAATTCATGGGGTGCTAATAGCAACACTCTAAAATTATTCTTGTGAAAATATTTCACCCCTTCAATTGAATGCACCCCCACACCCCAAAAAGCCTCTTTCCTCAAAACTCTAACAAAACTCACGAAAGTGATTACTACTTTATCTCGACACACTTCATGACCTGAGAAAATAAATGTAGGCTTTTTTGTTGTTGATTCTAAATGTAGGCTTTTTTGTTGTTGATTCAAAATTTTCCTTTTGTGGGTTCTACAATCTCCATGAGTTTCGGTTATATGTTCCCAAACAAATAAGAAATGTTCGATTATCTTTTCTCAAACAAATGAACAATGTTCGGGCCTGTGTTCCCCGAATTTCGGTCATATGTTCGGGAGTTCAGTCCCAAAAAAATGACGAACAATTTTTATTATTTTTGTCATTTTTTTTCCAAGAAATTTACCCTTACAAGGTCAATTTTGTCACGACCCGCTCCCCGTACCCAAGGGTTAGGCATCGTGATGGCCAGTAACCGTGGTTACCTCCGGCCAAATCTTTAAACAATTTAATAAACGCAAGCGGAAGAAATATTTAAATAAGGGTACTAAAATAATCATTGGAGTTTCTATTTTTATTACAAAAGGTATTGACCAAAAAGGCCGATTTTTACATAAAAAAAATACATCAATAAAAGTGCTTCGTGCCTACTCCACACGCTGGTCACGACATGTCACCTGAAAGTGGTAAAAAAACTATAAGCTCATGGCAGAGTGAGAAATATTATACTAAGAGTATAAGGTATAAAATTCACCATGGATAATTAGTTAGGCCAAAAAGAGCTTGAGACATATAACACGAAAATCATTTGATATATATTTCAGATCATTGAACATGTAATACGGAAATCACTATACAACCATAACCACGGTACATCACTAAGTGCCAAGCACTACACTGGTCAATGGATCCACAACAAACACTGGACCACAAAGTGGTCAATCACTAAGCCCATGGTTATTTCAGTCCCCCAAGGCATAGGACTCACTAAGCCAATAGTTATTTCAGTCCCCCAAGGCATGGGACTCACTAAGCCAATGGTTATTTAAGTCTCCCAAGGCATGGGACTCCCGTGGTGGTACTTACAAAACATATTTTCATATAAGGTCATAGCCATTCTTTAAAAGCAAAACACACACATCCATGGATTTCCTTTTAAGCAAATAGGGTTCAGAAATAAAACCACGTAACTGAAACCTTTATAAAATATAACTTTTATAAGTGTACTAATAAAACATAACTTTTATAAAATAGATTTTGGTAAGTCAAAACATACGTAAAATACATTTTGGTAACTCAAGGTATAATATAACTCACCTTAACTTTAATACCTTACTCTTCCTTTCCACCATCAAAGACCCTTTAGCTTCCACTATTCTTTCCTTTCTTCCTCTCTTTCCTTTCCTTCTTTTCTTTCTTTTCCTTTTCTTTTTCTTTTCTTTCTGGGCACTTCGCCCCTTATATACAGGGGCAGCCGTGGGCACCAAGCCACGGCCTGCCACGCGTCTCTCTCCAGATTCGCCATTAATATAGATAGATTCAATCTTATCCTAAATAAATATTTAAGATAATTACTATTTGATCCAATATTTTAATATAATTATATAAATAATTTAATGCTTAATTAAATTACACTAAATCTTATACTAACAGAAAATAAATTATTTATTTTAGTACCACACCTATTATTATTATTATTATTTATATTATCTATATTATTATTATTTATATTTTTACCCCTGAACTTTTAATAATTATATTATTTTATAAAATTACACATAATAATATATAATAAATTATATATTTTCTTAACTGAGATTAAATAATATTAGTATAAATTCTACAAAACAATTAAAAATCTGGGTTGTTACAAATTTCCTCTGAGCTAAGAATACCATCAAAGTTATGAATCTTCTCTAAGCTTATACTGTTGTACTCCTCTCATCTCATAAAGTTGTGATTACTAGAAAAACTTCCACACATTGTCATTGCCAGAGAAGTATAGATAATCAAATGATTGTCACCGTTACCGCCAGAATATTGTTGCCAAGATTTTTAAGGTTTTGATGGTGGGTAGATTTTGAAGGTGGGATTTGGAAAAGATGGATGGATAGTGATGGAAGTGAGTTCTCTCAAAAACCCTAACTCATGATGTAGTAAATATGTAGACTTAATTGTGAGATGGAGTATTCCAAAATTTTGATATCTTTTTTACTAATTTCATTTGAGATTATTATTTTAATAAAAATAAATAAAAAATAAGAGGTCTAAAATAATTGATAAAGTACTAATAATAACACTCTTAAATAATATTTTAATCATAATCAGATACATCACAATAGGCATTACCACTTCAAAATATAAACAAACACCTAACTCCGTTTTAATAATTTACCAACCCAATAACCAAGCGTCACATTGTTCTTATATTGGGATTTATCAAGGAAAAGAAAATGAATGAAACAATTTTAAACATCACTTGTTTTAGGTGCTGTTTGATAGAATTAAAAATTAAAAATTAAGTATTGAAAATTGAATACTAAATTTATTAAGTTAAAAAGCTGTTTGATAAAAATTTAAGTACCGAACTAAAAGTAAATTGTTTGATATATATAAAATTAAATTTGAAATTTATTATTTTCAAATTATATATTTTGATTTTTATATTGTGATGGTGGTGGTAGTGGAAGTGGTGATAATATGATGACGATGGTGGTGGCGGTGGTAGTAGTAGCGATGGTGGTGGCGGTGGTAGTGATGGCAGTAGCATGGTGGTGGTGGCAGTGGTAGCAGTGGTAGCCCTAGCGGTAGTGATCGTGGTAGTGGTGGTGGTGGTGGTGGTGGTAGCATGATGGTCGTGGTGGTAGTGAGCTTATAATAGTATATATTGATACTTATATTTAGTATTTATAAATTCAATCAAAATTAAGTAAGTTTCATATAACTTAAAATTTTCTTAAGTTTTACCTAACATTTTAAGAGACACTTAATTTTTTTAAGTCATATCAATTATAATTATCAAACAAACTTAATTAATTATGACTTAATACATTCAATTTTAAATGTTGAATCATGTTATCAAAACACTTATTTCTCCACTTTTCTTATTTTTTTTCCTTTCTCCACAACTTCATGATCTAAACAAGACATACCTTTATAATGTGTGCATTACCAACACTTTCCAACACAAACAAGAATTCTACCTGAACATGAGAGAGAAAGAGAGAGAGAGAGAGAATAATTTAAATGTATTATATATCATCTTGTGTTATTCAGAAACTATAGAATGCAAAAGAAAGACAAAAATTAAAAAGAAAATGATATAAAAGAACCAACAACTTGCCCTGTACTGCTACTTACCATGCAAAATTCCTATTCTGAAAGATTGGCAATGAAAAAAGAAATGGAATGGATAAAATTGAGAACTTAAACAAATGAATTAGCCGACTAATAATTTCTTTATGAATTTTAGCAAAGGCCGGGAATGGGTTTAACTCAGTCTAAAGGATCTTGGTCAAGCTTAGGGACAATAGCAGATGATAACTCTATGTGAGAAACACGAACAGCACCTATCAGTCGCTCTGGCAACTCATTTCTTGTGTTTGCCTGTGAACAACAATAATTTGCACACCACTCCCATCAGCTGTTCCCAATGTAAACAAATTTTGTAAAATTAAAAGTTAAATGAAAACTATAGATTCCAATGTAAATAAATTGTGTAAAATTAAATGGTATTGCAACAATAAAGTAAGGCTTAGGAAACCCAAGTGTATCACCCTTGTTTTCTACATTCCTGGAAAGCTTGTTGTTTTGTAACATGGTCAATTTCTTATTTTCTGTTTGTAGGTAACAACAAAAAAAGTGTTTGGTATGCGTATGTTTTCAAAACATTTAAAATCTAAAACAAATTTGGTGGCCAGAGATGAGGGTTGGTGGAAGGTGGCGGGAGGGAGCGAGGAGGGAAAACATGTAAAGCACATTTTTCTTAATTTCTAAAATTTTGAAGGCTGTTGCCACTTTTTGAAGACTAAACAGTTCTCAAATGTATTTTTGTATCTAGTTTTCGAATTTTGGTTTTCAAATTTTGAAAGCAAAAACAAACACATATGCATGTGTTTTTTTTTTTATTTTTTTGGGGGGGGGATAAATAAATCAATTAGAAGTCTCAAAACTGACCCAATTCATTAATGAAATGAACTCCAATCTCTCAAAAGGATTACAAAGTTATTTTCTAGCACAATCTACAAAATCAGAATAGGGAAATGAGAGTCCATCACTGTGCTCCCTTTTTTCTGTAATTCTTATTAATTAATAAATACATACCTATAAAAGGAAAGCCATGTCAACTACCAATGTTGTAATCATGCCAATTACGAGCCCCAAAACTCCATTAGCCACAGTAGAAGAACCAATGTCAACGTTAATCTAGCAGGGGGGAAAAAATGTGCAATGTTAAGAGTAGTAGTTGGTTCTTCAAGCATGTTCTATTTTGCCAAAAGAGTACTTGAGATCAGTCAACCACTACTATAGGCAATTTTTTTTTTTTTCACAAGTAATTACTATAAAGGAAGAATAATTATTACTTCCAAGTACTTGGGACCACGGATATAGTTGCAATCAATTGCTTTTCCTAACAAACAAGGGGTGCTTCCAATGCTCTAGTGCACAATCCATGAACATGGTCGACAACTCAGTCAAAAATGAATCCACAAGATAAAGAGCCCCCATTTCAGGAGCGTGGGGACTTAATTCAGTTCTAAGATAAGCCATTCCCAAGCAGTGTGGAAGTTACCACATGTATAAGTCAAAGGGAAGGAAAACAACCAAGAGACTAACAAACACCCAAATGATGAGAACAATAAACAATCTCAAGTCTTTACGAACTGTCAAAATTGTTGTCACCGAAGATGGATATTAAAACTGTAAATGTATTTATTTCTACATATGTCCACTAGTTGATCAGACAATTGTGTCTTCTTTTATGTGCAGTGTGCACTATGTTTAGACCTCTAAGGACTGGAAGCCCATGTGATAGTGATCCCAAGGCTGCACATCAAGTTTCAGCCAGCATAAATGCAAACTGTCCAGTCTAAATTACATCCAATGCACTCTAGTGATGGAAAGGTTGGACTGCTCTACGCAATATCTAAGACCTAAGAGTGCAGCCCAATATCAAGTTTGGCTAGTTGTGGAGTCCCAAGGCACAACTTCAGACAACAAAATTATTTATACTTTCCCTATAATTATCATCAAAAAAAGTAAACTATTTGTCTAAATGAAGTTTGGAATACAATTATTTTTGGTAATGAAAACGTAAAATTCCACACTTGAACAACCTCGTTCTAGGAAATGGGAAAAAAAGACAAAAGAGAAATGGATATGATACAATTAGCAATGCATTCTCTCTTAGACAGAACGTTGAAAAATGTTTACATTCTTAGCAAACCACATCCTAAAATGGTCTGACAATTGACATTATGGTTCCGTAGGTGTTTGGTTGCACATAACTTAAGGAAAACATTTTACATGTAAAAACAATTTCCACTAAATCAAGGAAAATAACTAACTGGTCAAATTTTGACAAGTCAATTTACATATCGGTGCACATTGTTGGTTGAGTGTTCATGTTGGTAATGGCGTTCTTTTTCAATGGAATTATAATGGTGTTGAGGGACTCGGGTTTCGTGAACATTGGGGTGGTTCAATGTGTGTGTGTGTTCAGTGTCACTCAATAGGCAAAAGAAAAATCTCAGCGACAAGTCTAATATTTTTGAAAAAAATATTTTACGTGTCGAAGACAGAAAATAAGAAGAATGTAGAATTTTTTCATGTAAAAGGTTTTACAAGCACAATATTTTACAACGAAACAAACGGAGCCTATATCAAAAAAAGTATCTACATTATGAATAGTGGGGAAAGCCTTTGCAAGGAAGACGGTCATATAAAACATTATGGAATATGGATTACTGAACCATGCAGGTAAGATTTGGAAATAAAAACTGCCATCTACACTTAACATATGAATCTTAGCAATGCCCAAAAATTAGAAAGACCGGCATACCTTGGGAACTGATGGGATAATCTTTAGTTTACTATTACGGAACTCATCATCACTATCAACAAACCTTTGTAAGAGAGATCCAGGTACTAATTCCTTCATCACAAAATAGAAAATCATACTATAGTGGGTCGAACCAGGTACCTATAAAAATACAATTTTATTTCAATTTCAGCTTCCATATGCATCAACTAAACATTCATATCAGCTATATAAAAGGACTTACTTGCAAATTTACCACTATGGAGAAAAATCCTTTTTCTGAGGCAACCTATGCGGAAATTCACAAAGGTTTATTAGCATGGTACAACATTATAAAACAATAAATAACAACCTTATAATATTCCACAAATGTTAAATTCTAAAACAAATTCTTCAAGCAAACTGATTGAAATTTTGTCAGCAACTGTTTAAGCAAGTGGTCACTACTTCAATTAA